ACTTCCAAATTCTATTCCTTGTATTTCTACGAAAATTCATTGATGTGTGTTCAGGAATTTAATGGCTAGGAATCACATTATTGGATGCAGCAACTCAATCGTGCCTGAAAGTGTAAAGTGTAGATTAGGAACGCCAAATCACTTTTATCTACTTTCGTAATACCTATAAATCTGTTAGGATGATTTTGAGCCTCAGGTATCATTATTATACTGTGCACTTGATTTCTACTAAGCATTTCTATTCACTGCAAACCAACCTGTGCAAGGAATTCATTGAGCATAGACTGCAATTTGGTATTATGTTTGCTAAATAAGCCTAAAAATTCGGTCAGCCTGTAATAATCTTTTAGCTACAAGAATTGTAGAGGCAGTTTATACTTATGAAAATGTCAGTGGCAGATGCTGTATGAACATGCCGCTCTGCAAATCTTCACTCCTTCATAATTTAATGTAAGCAACGAATTCCGAACGTGGATTATTCACCCAACGCTTTCAGTCAATTCTAAGCTAAAAAAATAAATAAAATAGGTTAACACCAAAACCACTTTGGAATGCTATACGTTAGTGTGAAGTCTCCTCTGAACCTACTACAGTGATCTAGTCGCTCCTCGTAAGGTAAATGAAGGAATTCGCCTCTTATTTCACTCCTTAACTTTTGATAGAGTTCCAGAAATCCACTTTACATTTAAAGCATGTAACTATGTGCACCTCACTGTAAATGTCTAATATAAATCGGTTTCAATATTTAAGTTATACTAAATTTCTACATAGTTCTTAAAATACCAACCCAGTGCTTCTTTGAAAACTTCCGAATACAATTTTCACTTTTTTTTTTTACTAAATCATCTTGCAGCCAGAAAACATATCTTACTATGTCTGACATGAAGATTTCAAGATGTGGAGGTTGATATCAATTAACGAAATTTTGATAGCATTGCGGAGATTTTTACGAATATTTATCCCTTATGCTGTCGGTACCAAAAACGAACCAAGGTCTCAGTATATCACGCGGTCGTGCTGTTCGCTTGATTATAGGTTTGATATATGGCTGTCAAAGAAACCAGCACAAAAGATTACTGACACTCAAAACATTGTTAGTGTGCTATGAGTGTCAATGAGTTTGTTATCGTGCAGTTACTGAAGTGGTTTTAATGAGTTGTATAAACTAAGACACTTCATATTCAAACTCTTAATATCACGAGGAGAACTTTACCTTTCTACTTTTCATTCACTAAGTAACGAACCGGGAGGAAATCGATTTGTGCATCAAATATCGGACATATTGATTGGAAGTCCAGGTACTAAATTTGAAGACTGATAATCGCAAAAATCCTAATCATTCATTGCTTTTGGCTCAGTACTGTTTGAATCACAGGTCTACTGCTTTCTACTGAGATGTATACGGAAGTAGATATATCCAACTACCAGTCATGCGATTACCGATCGTACAAGCACCTAACACAAAGAGAGTTTCTTATATATGGCTTGTAAGATGAGTTTACTCTACTTATAATGCACAGTGATATAGTATTATTTACTTCATGACGTTCCGGGAATAATTGATTGCTCAGTCACATCGATATAATCACACCCCTTTCAACAGTCGATTTTTATAGTCCAGTCAACTTATCCTTTTGAGTTTGGGCATTTGTGGGGATTTAAAGATATTTTAAGTTGGTTTTCACCATGGATTAACAGTGAAAAAAATATTGGAAACTTTGGAGCACCGAACAGCTGTTTCGTCCTAGTATAGGAATCTTCATCACTGCACACGCGGAACCGCCAGTGATCGAAACCGTGACCTTCAGGTTCCGTGGCCAGCACGTTACCATTGAGCCAGTCACTGGGTCGGGACCCAGTGGTTCATATTTCCGACCTCTGTTGGTTAACAACAGCGTGACCGTCGCCCAATATCATTGTTGAGGGCAGACACCCAACGATGACATTAGGTAATGGTTGCGCTATATCATGCATTGGCAGAAGTTAGAAATAGGGACCACTGGATTCCTACCCTGCTGGCCACCCAACCCGAAGGTCTCGAGTTCAATTCCTAGAGGGCGGAATCGTAGGTGCGCACTGCTTTAGAGTCCCAGACTGGCACACAACAGCTGTCTAATGCTCCCAGGTTTCAAATGTTCCTCAAACTGAGGTCAATCCATGATGAAAACCAACTTACATCTGTTTTCATTGGCAGTAAAATTTTTCATATCTATGGTATACGCGTTGCGTCATTCCTATTACATATGTTGGATGTCGATTCGATAAAAAAAGATTCAGTAAACAATCTCTCTCTCCACCCAATTATATTTGACTCAGGTATAGTGCCTATTGTATGCAGTTGTGTGTTGATGCATGCATTGCAATGGCCGAGTTCTCTTCTACATTATTCAACTTATTCGGATGTGTCATTCTATATTTGGCTAAATTCTCATGTTCACTTCATCTAACTGACCCCGACCGTCTTGTTTGACCTATGCATTTGACCTCGCAGTCATCACATGGAGCTTGGTAGATTAGATTATTCTGATTAATTGCCTCTATCTGATCGTTAAACCAACCGACAAAACTTATCTCTGGGTGAGTTTGTAAGTTGAAATGTCACCCAAATTGCAGCCTTGTTGAACAACTACGTAAAGTTTCTGATGTCGGTTCCTTGAGAGGTTTTGAACTCCTTCCCAATAGTGTTGTCGTCACTATTCTTACTTGTATTACTCTTATTATTTTATCTTCAAATCTAAGTACAAAATATATGGACAAACAGAAGGAGTAGCAATAGAATCACCAATATCCCCAGTCGTAGCAGATATATTTATGCATAGTTGGAAACACATGACTTTACAAAGGTTTAATCATGCACTTGAGATACGGTGGTGATATGTGGATGATACATTTAGTGTGTTGAGATCGGAAGATATCGACAATTTCCTCATGCATATAAACTCAGTAGTAGAAGTAATCCAATTCGCTTACAAGGCAGAAAAAGAGGCGGAAGGAGAATTATCTATGTTGGATTGCAGAGTAGAAGGGAGGTCAGACGGTGGTTTGGATACTACAATTTACAGGAAGCCGACACACTTTAACAGGTATCGAGACTTCAGGTCATCTCATGCAGTGTCAGTTAAGGCAGGTTGGGTGAGATTTGTAAATGATAGAATTGGAAAACTCACTAGTCACTGGAAGAATTGATAGAAGGAATTGAGTCACATAATAGAAGCGTTGGTAGTTATCGTTACTGTTGATTAAGAAATTCTTACGAAGATACTAGAAAGGAAATAATAAGAGTAACACAAGTACGAATAGTGATGATAACACTATTGGAAATGTGTTCAAGGCCTCCATTGTTTTACCCCCTCAAGGAAGCGACATCAGAAACTTTACGTAGTTGTTCAACAAGGCTGCAATTTGGGTGACATTTCAACTTACAAACTCACCCAGAGATAAGTTTTGTCGGTTGGCTTAACGATCAGATAGAGGCAATTAATCAGAATAATCTAATCTACCAAGCTCCATGTGATGACTGCGAGGTCAAATGCATAGGTCAAACAAGACGGTCGGGGTCAGTTAGATGAAGTGAACATGAGAATTTAGCCAAATATAGAATGACACATCCGAATAAGTTGAATAATGTAGAAGAGAACTCGGCCATTGCAATGCATGCATCAACACACAACTGCATACAATAGGCACTATACCTGAGTCAAATATAATTGGGTGGAGAGAGAGATTGTTTACTGAATCTTTTTTTATCGAATCGACATCCAACATATGTAATAGGAATGACGCAACGCGTATACCATAGATATGAAAAATTTTACTGCCAATGAAAACAGAAGAATATAAGTTGACTGGACTATAAAATTCGATTTCTGAAAGTTGTGCGGTTATATCGAATTTATAGCTTGATTGTTTATGCACGGAACGTCATCAAGTAAATAATATTATTTCACTCTGTTTTATAAATTTGATTAACGTTTGTATTATGAATTTTTTTCGTACGCGTTGCGTTGCACTTATGTACGTGGCTTATTTTTCATCCTGTTCAGAGATATGACGTATTTTCGGAGTAAACATCATTTTAGAATCTATTGAAGGCTTTATAATGTAGGGACACCAAATTTATCGTGGTATTGAACCCATGAAAAACGTATTTCGCTTAATAATCTTAAATTTTATTCAATTGTAGTGTTTGAGTTATCATTTCATTTCATAGTCTTTTTGGAGTTATTTTTGATCACTGGCTTGTACCAAACGATCAAAGAACGAAGGTTGTCGACATGAACTTCGAACCTTTCTTAAAGTTGCAACTGGAACTGATGAAGCCGTTCAAGTATTGACGAATATAGACTTAATTTCTAGTTATCCAAGATTCCGGAAGGATGTTATGATTCCTGTAGTAAACTAATTGTTAGCAGCAGATATATGAACCATAGTAAAACAGTGTTTGAGAATAAATCTATACAGATTACTTCCTAAGTTAACATTCTAACTGTAGGGCTTTAGTTAGAAGATCAACTTCAATAATACATTGTGGTTGGAATGGACCAACAAGACCTTGAGCAGGATAGAACAATAGTTTCTTTCATCCTAGAAAACTGTATTTTTTTGTATGTACCAAAATAGAAGTGAAATCAGTTAACTATATTAAATACTTTCAACTTATATGGATCTGTGGCTGAGTGGTTTATGGAGATGAGTATCAACTAGTAAGTCACATGTTTGAAGCCCCGCTCCACCTACCAAGGTTTAAGCAGTCAAGTAATCCCACTAGCCTTCACACAATAGATGTGACTCATATCTACTGCAGGGATGTGTGCAAGATAGCTGACTACATTTCATTGAATACTTTTATCAGAAAAGCGTTCATAATATTTATTTTATTGTATTTCTTACCCACAAGAACATAAAGAATTGTATTATAAAAGATATTGTCTGTACTCATTTCTTAAATTTACTAAAATGTTCAGTCTATAATATTTTTGCATTTTTCACTTCTGCTTATAGACCTGTATTGAAGTAATCCACTGTAATAATTTATCCTTAGAGAAAATATATACATTTTTCAGCTGATAAATGAAAATGTGCAATCAGTCATCAAATACTAAAAAGCCGATTCGTGTATGGGTTGATGGATGGTAATTGTTTTTCATTTCAATTGAAATGCAAATAATTTCTACCTTTCAATAGTTTTGACTTAGTTCATTTTGGACATGCAAATGCTCTTCGTCAAGCTAAAGCTCTTGGTGATCAACTTATTGTTGGAATTCATTCTGATAGTAAGTTTGACTATCTTGATTTCTTTTAAAGTTAATTTTTTAAAAATTCTTTATTTCATTAGAGGAAATTACTAAACATAAAGGTCCACCAGTTTTTCATGAAGAAGAACGTTATCGGCTTATCAAAGCTATAAAATGGGTAGATGAGGTAAGTGAAACAAATGTATCAAAAGAATTTTGTTAAAATGAATGTCTGTGTTGTAAATTGTTAAATGTTGGATTGAAAGGTTTAGATACATGTTTTAACCTTCTTAAGAGTTTATGAACTAAGTATGTCTGCAATCTATCTACGAAAGATAAAGAAAGGGTTTCAGTAGTCACACCAGCACATAGAAACAATTCATGTGGCCTCCAATTATTGCTCTAAACCTCTTAAGTAATTAGAGACTCCACTATGCTACTTAAAATCGATAACAACCTAATTGAATCCACTATTTAACATCGTCTAAACTCTTAACATCTTACCTTCATAAACCATCTGTTTGTTTTACCAGTTTCTTCGTCATCTTTGTTTCACTGATCATACTGTTATTTTCTTTCCTTTGCTTCTCCAACTGTTGATTCCTTCCAAATGTGCCAATTTGTAGTCTAGAAATCTCAACTAATGTGCACATGAGAGTTTTTTTTCTCTGTTGTGTAACTCATGTTTTCTTCCATTAATGTTCCGATGATGATTTGTCAAAATGAATATAACTTTCCTTGGTGCTTTGTTTTTTTAACAGTCTCAAACTGTTATTGTATTATTATTGTTCCCAGTATGATTTCAGTGTTTTAGTTTCTCACTACATGCTTCTTAAATAAATACTTTTCATTTCTAATTGAAGTAATATTTCATTGGTGCTAATGCATCATGTATTGACATGGGTTGGAACTAACCAAGTTGAAAATGAGGACGGTGCTGGATGATGGTATTGGATGGAGGTTGGACTATAGGGTGAATTGATATTAGTGGGAAATATGCACTATTGGATTTCGACCCGGTGGCCCAATGATAGCGTACTGGCCGTGGAACCTGAAGGTGCTGGATTCCATCCCTGGAGGGTGAAGTTCTGGGTACGCACTGCTTCTAGGTCTCCAGTGGTCACTCCAACTGATGTCAATCCATGATAGTGTGATACTGTTGATTGTATCATTTTTGAACAAAGCGAACTTGCTGTATTAAAAATGAGTATATTTTATACATACTCAACTTTATTGTTATACCAGTTTCGACTTGCTTCTTTCCTTGTGGTATTCACTTTTATACGTATTGAACCAGTTTTCAATGGATCGCACTACGCAGTTCTACTTTAGCGAAAAAAAAAACTTTCTCGATAAAAAAGCTGACTATAGTAATTTATATTTGTAAGTTAATACAATTACACTAGTGATGAAAAAGATGGGTTTGCTAATTACCTCTACTTTATAATATCTTATAAAGCTTCATATTATGGATGATTTTTCATCCACTGATTGATATCTAAGTTTTCAACATAATTGAATGTGTTTGTCATCTGTTTGTTGTAATGTATCATAAATTTCTTTTCTTCTAATAATTGTGAATAATTTGCATTTCTGTTTTGTTCCATATAGGTTGTAGAAGATGCTCCATATTTTACTTACTTGGAAACTTTAGAGAAATATTCTTGTGATTTTTGTGTACATGGAGGTATGTATTATAATAAAACATCAAGTCTTATATAACATTTGAGATAAGTTGGTTACTCAACCAAATTTTTTATAATGACTGAGGTTGATTGCTTTCGGGTGAGTGTGAGTGAGGAAAAATGGGCTAGATACCTTACGTTACTTGCGGACAACTCAACCATGCCTATCCTCAATCCATTTCATGATATAACGCAAACATCTTTTAGGGTTATACAATGTTCACACCCTTCCATTTACTTATGTATTAATGCTGTCTAATACTGAAGACTGTCTTCAATTCATTGAAATCCTTAAAAGTATTAGAGGTTTGGTATTATTTATTGCTAATAGTAAGACTTTATGTGTTTATTCGTGCACTACACAATGAACTGTATCTATCATGTAAAGATTAAATTTACTTCTTGACTGCTCGAGTCCAGTAAGGTAGAGTGTTGTTCGTACTGTCTACTTAATGATTGAAAATTAGGTGCGTAAACCAGTGAACTATATCTTCACCTGATTCATTCTTCCTGAGGACAGAAAATCGATCATGTCCATTGAAATTTATTACTATATGTTTGGTGATAAGAGGTATTGGTTTATTGATTTCTGCTATAGTTATGGACGTATTTAAAGAATTATCCGCAAACGGTAAACCCATCGATTCAGGTTGAGATAAGATCACTAGACGAAAAGTCTAAACCAGTGACTAAACTTGTAAACCTATGCCGATCGAAGCCAGTGAAACGCGTTGTGCATGGTGTGAAATGTTGGTTCTAGTAGAGTTGAGTTTAAAGTGACTAGATGAAGTTATATGGCATATTGTTTAATTGGTTAGTTATCTGTTTAAGCAGTTTTTGGAAGTGTTGGCTTTTTAATTAAGGTCATAAAGATATTTAGCGTCAGAAATTGGAAACTATAAGTAACTGAAAAGCATTAAGTTAATATAAACTTCAATGTGCGAAAAATATCGCTCTTAGTTCATTTGTTTCATTCGTGCTTACATCCTTTCTTTCATTTACTTTATCAATGTATGTTTCTGTTCATTTTCATTTCTGTATCGAATTTCGGCGTGGCAATTTTAACCGATGGACTTCTATGTGAGGTTTTGTATGATATATTATTGATTCGCGTGAGTAGCGGAAAATCAGTCATGATATTCAGTGATGCTTACTGACTATATCATGTAGGAATGACCTCATCAATGATGTATCTGGATTGATTAAGCTCTCTTTGAGTAGGATCTATTAAGCTGCCCAAAAATTAGTTAACTATGTAAGCAAACTGATAATATCTGGAATTAAAGCAGGTGTTCACAAGGAGAATTCACTTCAAAATTCACTCAGCAACACATTTATGCAGTAGACAATGAATTACAACTGTTGTATGAGGACTGATGATATTAACTGGCTGCCTAAATCTCGGTAGGCGAACTCACTGATTGAAAGTTACGTTCCTAAACCAATGAGCCACACACCTCCACACTTTCAACCTCCACTGAGACTAATTGGTTCTCTTCTTGTTTTCACCACTCTGTTTTAATTGTCAGGCAGATAGTAATATGTGAAGGAAACCAGAGTGAAATTTAGTAACTGGGATTATAGCTGATTTCGTTATTCTCAATATGTACTTAGAGTCTTGTAAACAGTCGTTTTACCTCTATGTTGTAAGTTGTTATGAATAGCTCATTGTCAGTCTGTCTCTATACAACAATATCTTTGTTTAAATTGAACTTATTTTCCATTTATAAGTATATTTAAACTTACAATTCAACGAGTTAGTTGTCATTGAAAAGTGTATTTAGGACTTATTGTGCCTACCAACAGATAAAGTTATACAGTTATACAATTAAGTTAAACGTCAGATTGCAAAAGAGATAACTTAGTCCGATTATTCTCTGTACAGAATCCTTGATGTTACTAATAATGCTCATGTTTCAGTTGATAAATTGAAATTTTTCTCGAAATTGCTAATGTGTTATCACATCTAACATTATTGATTTGTCAAGTTGTAATTATTTCTACTACAGATACATTCGTTGCTTATTTATTTTATGCCTTTCTTTTCCTTAGATGATCTAGTTGTATCCAATGATGGATCAGATCCATATGCTGAAGTTAAAGCAGGAAATCGTTATAGGTAAGAGCAGCACTATTATAAATATTATTCATTTTTGTTTAGATTTTCATATGTGATCTCTTTTTCATTCATTGTCGACCAGAAGTATAATGAAAATAATTGTAGATACTGGGTGGTGATTGAAGGTGAAATGAAAATTTGGACCGCGGCCAGATTTGAACCCGGGGACCACCAACTGAGCTACGAGGCCTGACTGCTGACTAGATTTTTTTGAAATTTCACTTCAGTCACCAAGGGTTTTGCCCAACCGCTATGTGATTTCATGATGTGTTACTATTGCTTAATCGTACTCACACTGGCTGCTCAGTTAGAACTTCTCATCCCAATCAAAATTTAACTGAGTTAGGAAGAGAGAGCATCATAATGATTATAATTTTGACTATCTGAGATAGCCGTAGTTTGACAGACCAGTATTGATACTGGTTGATGATTGAAGGTGAAATAAGAATCTGATTAGTAGTCGTATCTTGTAGCTCATTTGGTAGAGCATCGGGCTGGAAACCCCGGTGGTCATCAGTCCGAATCCAGCGGTGGTTCAAATTTTAATTTCACTTGTTCAATACTAGTCTCCCAAACCACAATTTCAAGTTGTATACAAACTTTAGGCAACCTGTGTTTATTATTATGATGTTGAAGTATTTGAAAAATGCTAACCATTGAATAGTATAATTATTTTAACACTTGCAAAAAGTCTGATGATGTCGTTTCCTTCTTAGAAGATTCTGCATGCTAAAGTGTCCCAGATCGGTTGCCATAGTCTTCAAATACTCTAATACCCGTCACAAGTATACACAGTTAGTTCTAGGATAGACAGATTCGAAGAGGTAGTCAATCAACATCTCAAAGTTTAACATCTATTCCACTACTGTCTCCATCTCCATTTGAGATTAACTCTGAAAGCAACTGCAACAACTACTCAGACACTCAATTATATTTGCAGTGAAAATAAACCTTCTCAACCGAAATAAAGAAACCTAATTACTTGTCCAAGTAGTTGCTTGGGTGACCTATGGAATCACTCCCATTTAAACCTTGAATGTCACAAGATTCTTTAGATAATAAGTTATTCAATATAGAGTTTGACTGCCTGAAGTGACCAATTAGGTCTTTTTATGATAAAAGGTAATGGCTATGTGGTAAGCTTTTGGAATCTCACTTCTATTCAATCTTTTAATCAATAAGCTATTGTCTTATGTGTTCTGTGGTATGAACATCTCGGTTAACATTACAAGTGTACCAGCAGTAGCTTAATGATGTATCATATCTCATAAACGGTAGTTGCGTTTGCCACAAGCATATAAGTGAAATAAATTGAATTATTTAGCTGAAAATGTTTATATCAACTGGGTTAAAAATAACATTAGTCCGTTGATTGTATATAGCTCGCATATCGGAATAATTTCGTCACAACACTGCAGGTTTACTGTCCGTCCAGAATTTTGTGTATATTTATCTCAAGTATGCGCGTAGGCTATATATATATATATATATATATATATATATATATATATATATATATATATATATATATATATATATATATATGTTTTTCAATCGTATTTTGGCACATTTATATATTTCGTTCAAGATTTGACCTTCAGAGGGCTGTCCCAGTATAGTCCGCGTTTGACATGTGTACAAATCAGGTGCTGATGAATTCTAGCTTATTTTCTTCAATCAGTTATGATAGAAGTAAACTCGTTCTGTGCTTAAATTGTTCAGGACCTGAAGATATCCCTAATATTCACATTGGAATTCGAGAGGTTTGTTGATCTATGGTTGATGACAAAGTTGTTTTTGCTCTTAGCTTCCTATAGCAAGAAAGGTTTTCAACGTAAATGCTGACTTCATGATGTCAATCAGTTAGGATCAAAGTGAAATCTAGCATTACTGCATAATGGTCCATTTTACCACATTTTTATATCAACCAATCAAGGTAAAAGGTACTAAGTTGAGAATTAGATAAGCAGTAGCAGCTATCAGTTGTGGACTTTATAATTTAGTTAAAATGGACTGAGTGGATACGATATTTGATGATGATGATGATGATGATACCATTTTATTGTTTTGCAGAAAGTTAACCTACACACTTACCTTTCTACTGTATATGACCACTATATTCATAGTTTCATAAGACAGAGAGTACATTCTACTGGGATTATTAGTTTCCGACGTTGAATCAAACCATTTTGACTCACTTAGAGATGGCTTTATTCGGCATATCAGATACCCTGTGGATTTCTTAACCCTACTCATAATAGTATCTACTGATTTCTTAATTCAGTTTGCAGGTGTTATGAGATTTGTTCATTACAACTACTGAGTTGCTTTTATACGATTTATTAAAGTATCTAATGTTTAAACAGATGGATACTGGGGATTTACAGCACACTTACATTTACTCTTAAATGACCTTTATGCAACTGACGAAAAAGATACTATTCATCTCACTATATTTATAATGATTTTCTAGTGAATTACAATTCCTTAGTGTCATTAAATTGTAAATGATGTTTTTCTTCTCTATTGTTTTTGTATTAGAGAAGTAAAACGAACTGAAGGTATATCAACTACAGAATTAGTATCAAGGTTAGTCATCATTTCTTTTGTACATTCACTGTTATCAATTACAAATTTATACCATCCACTACAGTCTAGGCAAAAGGATAGGTATATTTACTAGTTATAAATGCAATATGACCCTATAGTATATGTTGACAATATGTACAAGATTACTGATTATTACTGTTACTCAGTTATTAGTTGAAGTGTAGTATGGATTGATACCAATTGATTAACCACTGGAAATTTAAAGATTCAGGACAGATGTTTCGTTTCGATTTGGAACTGCTCAGCAGTGTACATCAATAATCTTGTAGGAGGTTGGGCCTTTTAGTGTAAAGTTTCACAATGAATGAATACATTACTCTCTTTCTTCATTGTTTTCAAGTTCATGATCATTGTTCAATGTTATCGATAGGCATTTATTCTTTTATTTGTTTCCAACTTCATTAACCCTATAGATCATAATTTCGTATAAAAACTTTAGGATACTCAGCATAAAGCAAGTCATTAATGTATACTAGACAGAAATTCAATTAATAGTTTATAGGGAATAACTATCTTCAAAGTAATTTTTATCACTATAGTATACGTTTATATGACTTTCTATAACTATCGTAATAAATGTGTTATCAAGTTAAATTATTTACGTACATTTTGTTTATCCAGTAATGTACACTGAGATCAACACAGTTTGTATATAGGAATAATATCAAAGCTTATAAATTCATCTGATATTTATGGTTATTTCATATTATTGTTAGTTGGTACTTGCAGTTTCTCTTGTTCTTATATTGGATCGAATTGATTGACATCTTATGCCTCAGTGGTCTAATGGATAATGCTTTAGCGTTGAAAGCGATGTATTCAGCGTTGAATTCTTCGTGGAAAGAACATTACCCTCTGGAATGTGCAGGTATATCCAGCTGACAAGTCTCAATTAGGATAAAACACATGTTCTGGATTCCACTGCTGACAACCAAACAGACTATGATCCATTGGAAATGAATCATAGTTTTCTGTTTGGATACTTCTAACTTCATTATGTTGATTGAAATAGCTCCCATCATTCTCAAGGAACACTATGGGGTTTATAGTTAGTAACCTTGTGAATTCCTTAAGCAACAAATTCAGAGCCTCTTGTGTTTATACCAGGTAATGTTGAAATAGCACTGAATGAAGTTCATGATAAATTTTATTTCCCTTGTGAGCAATCATACCGCAAAGTGTTTATAAGTATGCGCTGTCATAGTAGTGGGTTCAAGAGATTATTTGTTCATTCATTTACCAATCAGTTTTTGTCTACTTTTCATTCTTCAGTTTGGTATTCATCATGGAATGACATCAGATGGAGGAACATTGGAAACGTGGGATCACTGGACAACTATTTCGTTCCACTTGAATGGGCTTTCTCTGCAGTTTACACCCCCGACGCTTTCCCGCCAGGGCTCGAACTCGGGACCTTCAAGTTCCGTGGCCATCACGTTACCATTGAGCTAGCCACTAGATGGGAATATGTTGGTCCATATTTCCAACTCCTGTCAATTTATGACATAGCGCGGTTATCACCCTCCCATCATCACCGCACAAACCCTTTAATTAAATTGATGTAGTGCTCATTGCTGACTATCTTCGAAAGGGGATTCTTGAGGTTCAAATGAGAAGTCGTGACCGGTTGGGCAAACCTGGTGGCCATGAGGACAAATACTCAGCGATGATATTGGGTGATGGCCGCACTATGTTGTGAACTAACAGAAGTTGGAAGTACGCACCACTGGATTCTGATCCAATGGCTCAATAGTAACATGCTGGTCACCGAACCCGAAGGTTCTGGGTTCGATCCGTGGCGGAGTGGGGTTATGGGTACACACTGCTGAGGAGTCCCATATTAGGAAAAAACTGCTATCCAGTAGTCTGAGGTTTTCATTGTTCCTCCAACTGATGTCATTCCATGATAAATACCAACTTGAAAAATTACTAAATCCCCACAAATCCCCTAACTAAACTTTTCATTCATTCATTTTTGTAGAATGTTAAAACGGATTCGTCGATTACAAGACAAGGGTGTGTATGCATCACAGTCAAGTTCAGGTACAGAACAGTCAATTCGACGTACGCAATCATTAGATTCTATATTGAAAACTAAAGACAGATTTACTCATCCTTGTAAGGTAAATTTTTAAAAAATAACTTTTATTGTATATTATTTATTCATACATAGTGATGATTTAGGGTGAAATGAAAACCTGGGTTGTGGTAGGATTCGGACTAGTGACTCAATTGATAGAGCATCAGACTGGTAATCCCGAGGCCGCTGTTTAGATTGCTTTCAAAACTCAGGTTTCTATTTCACCTTCAGTCATCGTCCGGCATCAATAATTCTAGTCTGCTAAACCCTGTCTATTCCAGATAGCTTCATCTACATTATTTATTCTTTAATTATACAGATAAATAAAAGATAATTCTGTTTATGTATGTGACGGTCTGATGGCGCAATTGTTAAAGGTTCAGTCTTAATTTTGTTGCTGTTTATTTGTCTGGAGCTCTAACCTACTATGCATCTCTTCAAATGCTGAAGCGTTATTTACTATGTTACAGCGGCCTAGTCGATGATACTTTAACGTTTGAAGCAATGGGTACTAGGTTCTAGCCTCAGTTGGAACAGCATCACCCAATGGGGTGCAGCTGCATTCAGCTGACGAGTCATGTGTGGGACGAAACGTGGGTCCTCGATTTCACTGGTAGCCATCGAATGGATATTCATCAGTATCGGGGCCTCCATACAGAAGCCCATCTATTAATAGAAGTCGGACAATTCGACCTAGCATAGCGACGTGTAATCTCAAGTATCAATAAATAAAAGAATAATCCCATTTGTATATATGACGGTCCGATGGTGAAATTTTTTAGGCTTTAGTTTTATCTTGTATGTCTGTATGTGTTAACTTGACAAACCTACAACGTCCTATTCAATACAGTAGGACCCATTAGAGTCATTAAGGGGTAATCACTTCAAATATGTTTCACAGTTTCGCTTGGAGCTTAATAAATAAATGTGAGCAGTGGCAAGATTTGAACTGGTGACCTCAGGGTTATCGACCCGGTGCTCTACTAACTCAGTTATGAGATTCAACTACTGACCAGATTTTAATTCATTGAAAAAGTTATTAAAAAGGAAATGGTATTAAAGAAAAGCTCAGCTATAGCTGTGCATGTGACTGGACACAATCACACTTTAGGATGTGACAGTGATAGTATTGGGCGGAGGGACAGATTGATAACCGAAATAACATCAGATACCTGCGATAGAAGTGATTCTACACACCTTCCAGATATATAGAAATTTCTATTATTCTTGTCATCATAAAGAAGGAGAGACTTAGAATTATATAAACCATTGTAAATGAGATATGTTTGTGAAATCCCAATGAGGTAGATAAATAGATTTCGTTGGTAATCTCCTCGTGTCTCATATTGAATTCATACTCTTTGTCAACTCTATCACATCACATATGTGTGTGTGATACATTTGTAAACTTTAAAAAGATCAACTATGGAGACTTTTTCTAAACAAATCTTGATTTCTATTCAACACATCCACTCACTCCTACACTTACACTTGGTCTGAACTAATCCAGGAGGGTCACGAAGCTTGTTACGAATGAAGACGATAAATGTACCACATTCAAATAACCACCTTAAAAATATCATTCAAAAGATACAAAGTCATGAGTATAAAAATCTGAGAGGAAAATCGAATAATGAGTGTTGAACTATTATAGTAGTTCTGCTATTCTAACAAGATACAACTGAAGGGTCATAAAAGATTTTAAGCAGACATCGAATTAGAGCCTTCTACAAGACGACCAACATTCTCTGGAATGCTTTAGTTCCCTTAACAGATGGAATCCTTTTTAGCTCCACATGTAATTGTGTCTACAAATTAGACTATGTCGATTGTCATGTTTATTATTATATTGAGGAATTCTTCCGTGAAATCCCTATTCAGGTTAAATAACATGCAGAGTGCACAAAATGACCTGCAAATTATTATTATTATTATTTATCCCTTGGGTTCCTAGTAGAACATAGGGCTTCAGTAGCACGTCTTCAGTGCACTCTGTTCTCTGAAATTTTTTGAACCTGTTGCTACGACAGCCCAGAAGCTCTCATTTTCTCCTCGCACCATCTCCTCCATGTCACCCTCGCCTCGAACGCCCAACTCGTCGCTTCCCATCTGGGTTCCACTGGAGTGCCTGGACTGGTGTGTGATGTCCCCAGTTGGTCTTCTCAGTGTATGCCCAATCTAATCCATCTTCACTTCCTTCTGCATATTTGTTGAGTAATAGGTTGTTGGTTGGTTCATTGACCTGCAAATACTCCTGTAAAACTGGAAAATTTACCCATCAAATAGTTACTTGCTGTTCATACCATCTTTTATAGCCACAAAATTGACATTGAAAATATCGAAATTTTTTAGAAAGAATTTTTAATCCTAGAGGAAAGACGGATAGTTGAGACATTTCATATTATTTTGAGTCCTAATACACTCACCAGAAAAGAAGATCTAACTGCCCAACTAACTTGGATAGTATATCCGAAATATCACGTTGCACACACGAATCACTACTACATAACACACACACACACACAAAATGAATTCTTCATATCTTCACACCCATTCACATATTCACACACAATCACCTCTTCACCTTGAACTCGTGTATGAACAATGTGACGTGATTCTTCTCCACTTACTATTTAAATACGCGATGACTTATACGGGTTTTGTTCTGCGTAGAAGCAGCTTCGATGAGGTTGCAAACTGTCAGAAATTTATTTTCTACCTCATTGAGATTTGACGTATGTATTTCCAGGCGTTTTTTACTCGACTATCATGTGAATTCATGCCGCGTTACTACTGATTGATCAAAGTGACATTGGCCGTCTATTCAGGACTTCTCATCCGAATGGAAGTCTAACTGAGTTAGGAAGGTAGAGCATCATATTGGTTATAATTTTGACTATCTGAGATAGCCGTAGTTTGACAGACCAGTATTGATACTGGGTGATATCTAAAGGTAAAATGAAAATTTGAACCGCGACCCGATTCGAACCAGTGACCACAGAGTTTCCGACCCGGTGCTTTACCAACTGAGCTACAAGGTCCGACTGGTAACCAGATTTTGATTTCAGTTGTGTGAGTACGCTCAAGCGGTATTTAGTTACGCATGATAGCCGGAAAAGCCCTTGATGATTGTAGTAAAATTTTGAAAAATTTGTTCACTAATCGGGCCTCGTAGCCCAGTTAGTAGAGCTTCGGGCTGGAATTCTGGTAGTCGCTGGTTCGAGTCTGGCCGCGGTCCAAATTTTCATTTTATCTTCAATCATCATCCAGTATAAGTATATTTCCCTTATTATCCATTGACCCAACGTTCAACTTATTCACTTCTATCATGTCAAATTTCAGTATTGAAGTTCATGAAATATTTAAACCACTTCTCTAGATTTGTGAAGTTATTTGATATAAATTTGGACAACGAATTATGTTCGAAACGTTTATCCAGTAAACAGTACTGTTTCACTGTGTTATTCAACAAGCGGAAATAGAAAGATAAAGTTTATCTGAATAGTGCAATGTAATTGAGTGCAATACATTTCGAACAGTCTGACCACATTAATTACTTGTGAAGTCAATTTGTGTAAAACTGAAAATCAGAGGAGAAATAAAACAATCATGATAATTCGTAGGGAGGTAGAGGATTCAAAGTAAGAAATACAATAAGGAAAGAATAACATTTTGCTCCTAATATTGGTAATAATGGTTATTAAGGTAGGTGTAAGTGTGTAGTTTCGTACATGTTACAGCGAGCTCGATTTGCATATGCCTATGGCTTCCTCAAATGTTAGGATGTACTTTTCTTTCAATATAAAATGTTAATTCTGTGGTTTATTTCTGGAATGTGTTCGATTATGAGTAGGAAGAGTTTTACACTACCAGTAAAGGAATAAATAACTGAAAGTATCCAGTATAGATATTCGTTGTCTACCTTGTTTGAAAAGGCAGCCTCTGATGTCCTTTATTTTAAAATTGTCAGTAATTGTTGAACTCTAAGTTACGGTTTACTATTCGACTTAGCGACTTGTATTATCATTATTATTTGTCCCTTGGGTTCCTAGTAGGGCTTCAGTAGCACGTCTCCAGTGCACTCTGTTCTCTGAAATTTTTTAAACTCTCATTTCTTCCTCACACGATCTCCTCCATATCACCCTCGGACACTCAACTCGCCGTTTCCCATGTGGGTTCCACTGGAGTGCCTGGACTGGTGTGTGATGTCCGCAGTTGGCTTTCTCAGTGTATGCCCAATCCAATCCATCTCCAATTTCTTCTGCATATTTGTTGAGTAATAGGTTGTTGGTTGGTTCGTTGCCAGACTGAGTTCCTTGTTGCTTATTCTGATTATTCTGGCCTTCTGAGCTTCAGTAACGAGCCAGCGTAGGCAGTTATTGATGAATGTCTGTAGTTTGTTGGAAGTGCCTTTCGTAACGCGCCAAGTCTCTGAGCCATATACAAGCACTGACTTGACTGACCTAGTGTTGAAAATCCGGATGTTGTTCACGCTTTGTGCTGAGTGCACAAGATCTCCACACTGCTTTCAGGTTAATGCAGCAAGGCCTGTCTTGCTATCTTTCCGGTCGTGGCTGCCTTTGACGTCCTCGTCTATGCCTCCGTCTGTAGTTGAAACGGTGCTGCCCAGATAGGTGAAAGAGGCTACTTCCTTCAAGTTTCTCCCAATCATGGTGGTTGCTGTTGGTTGTTATTGTTGTTGTTGGTTGGTTGGGTATCTTCATCACCTCCGTCCTCTCTACGTTCACTTGAAGTCCCGTCTTCGCCACCCTGCCTCTTGTGTCTACCTGTTAGTTTTTGCCTGTAGATCTGAGAGTTTGTGCCACAAGACATTAGACACAAGTCATCGGTGGGGAAATCCAAATCTTCTAGGTTCTTTTCATCAGTCCAGTCAGCGTATCGCCATCTTCTCGCTCCTCACTGTTTGCTGCATGATCCAGTCCAGTCCAGTCCAGTCCAGTCCAGTCCAGTCCAGTCCAGTCCAGTCCAGTCCAGTCCAGTCGACCACAATCAGGAAGATCATGGGTGATAGTAGACGGCAGTCTTGTCTTACTCCTGTCTTCACTTCGAAGGCATCACTGAGCCTTCCATTGTGTATAACTAAGCATGTGGGGTCTTCATATAGTTGTTGAATGAGGTTGATGAGGGTTTGTGACACTGAAAGCGTAGTGTTGAAGCAGCTGCCTGCCAAATCACTTGTCGGTCGACGCTGTCAAAGTCCTTTTCAAAGTCGATGAAGTTGATGTAGAGTTGAGTTGAGTTGAGTTGGGTCATAATTTATGAACTTATTCAGATTTCTACATCTCTGAATATCACATAGCTTGGTGTGTGATATATCATTCAGTTGAAGTGAATTAAAGATACAGAGTTATTTCTTTTTTTCAGTGTGAATTACCTTACATAAAAAGGCTTTTACTGACTTAATGAGAGTAAATATTTTGGTTCTTATGGATTCACTACAAGATATCTCTGTATGATATACAAGTTACAGTTAAAGTGGATAAGAATTCATTAATGTGTATTTTTTTTTTAAAAACTGTTGATGAAACAAACGATTTTTCAGTGTTAAAGAGTAAAGTAATTAACGGATACTAACGTACTGTTGTCCAAGTCTGTTAACATTCTCTGTGACTACATATCTTGTAGAAACCTTCAATTCCCTACTACTCCGACTTTTCTGAGGGAAATATTATTGCTGTGTACCCACATTTCATATTCGAAGGTGAACACTTTCAGCAGCTATAAGTATAATCGTTTAGGACCATTACTAGTCTATATTTATGCGTCATATATAAGAAAATGTGGCTGGTAATCTAATCGCTAAAGTTTCTCTTTACAAAAGGTATGTCGGTGATATCATATTGATTTGTGAAAGGCATAAGAATATGGTCTGTCTACCAAATAGACCTAACACCATACAAGCCCACATCAGACTGATTTGTGAGAAAAAGAATAATAACTGTCTATCATTCTTAGATGTACTCTTGAGTTGGCGAGGTGGTTCAATAAGACGGTCAGTTTACAGAAAGCTCAAACGGACAGGACGGTATCTGAATTTTTGCAGTTTTTGTCCGATCCAATATAGCCGAGATCTGGTAAAATTCTTGCTGAATAGGATCTTTCGTATCTGTACGTCAGATACTATGGATGAAGATTTCAAACTCCTGATCAAAACAACACTCATGGGAAACGGATATCCGTTGAAGTTTATAAGCCTTAGTAGAAGTCAGGAAACACCTAAGAAAACATCCATATCACTGTACCATACCAAGGGGAAGTTAGATAACATAGTTTTGAGACGTAGGCTAACATCAGCCATTCAGGAAACACACTACGCAGCTAATCTTGCTATTGTGGAAAAACATGTCTCACCGCAAACCTAACCACTGCATCAATGACTACGTCACACCCCATTGTGTTTACCAATTTATATATGTGTGTGGTCACATACATAGGGAGGAGTAATCAAACCATGCAGTTGGGGGTGGGAGAACATGTAACTAAATACCTTCAAGAACAAATGGAGTGTGAAGCTTTGATTAACGCAGGTGGGAGACGACCCTCTTCATGCATAGCTAAACATATTATAGAAACAGATCACAAAACTAATGTTCAAACAGGTTTCGAAATTGTCTTCCCACTCTTCAGATTTACATAAATTGGCTTGACAAGTAAATGTGTGACTAGATTGTTCGAAATGTGTTGCATAAATGCATTAAGTCATTCAGATAAACTTCGTCTTCTAATTACAATAAAACGGTCGATATACTAAAAACCTGAATGAACATGTTAGTATTTAAGTTTCCGTAGCTTTTTTCCAACTCAGTACAAGCGACGTTTGGTAATGTGCCTATTCAATAGAATGCAGCGTATGTTTACGCAAGACTAAATTGATGCTGACTTCGAAATATGAACTGAAACATTGTTGGAAAATAGATATCCATTAAAGTTCGTAATCGGTTGAGGAAATCAGTTAGTATGAAACCCCAATGTATATTCTGTTCGGAGGAAATGCGTTTATATCGGGTTACCATACAGACGGGAATCTAACGGCGTAGTTTTAAAGCGAAGGCTAAAGTCTGCCATTAAATAAACACTAATGCAGCTGGTAGTTGAGAAAACCAAATACATGTTGTAACATAGACCTTGTTAATGTACAAACGATTGCTTCAAATTCCCACTGCGTTTGTCAATTTAGATGTGTTTGTGGGGGGGGGGGAGCACATATACATAGAGAGAATTAATCAAAATATGCATTTAATGGGTTATGGAACATATGTACCAAAATGGCCGCAAAAGCATCTGAATTCACAAACGCCTTTCTTGTTGTTAAATCTTTCAATGTAATATTTGTCTTTCTCCCGCTTCCAGTTTTCATATACAGTGCCTAGACAAGTAATTAAGTAGATTTCAGCCCAAGTGGCATGTGTCTCAGTCTTAGGGAGACCATTATCCAGTAATTGAGTAGCTTAAGCACATTTTATGTACTCCTGTTTTAAAGACTTTCACACCGTTCATTGTTTGTTCACTAGCGTTAAGATTGGTTGAGGGGAGCGGAGAGGTGGTGAGTTTATAACGTGGCACCGTTCAGTGTAGGATAATTATGTTGCGCTAGCACTTAGCGGTGCGTAAGACAGGTTCCAAGAAGTCACATGACTTAGTGAATGGTTCAGTACCTTATCACATATAGCTCAGAATCGAAATCAAAATCAATGCGAATTTATATCTGATGGGATAGGAAATTCTGGAGTTGTGGAAAGCAGGAATAACAAGCGGACAAGTGTTAAAGAAGTAGTAGGTTATGTAAGTATATGAAAAACTGGAAGGTCGTTAAGCTGGATGATTAACAGTCATTTAGTAAACTAATAAAGAGATAATGCAATCAAAAAACAACTATTTACATACAAAAGAAAAATTATATAGTTATTACTAGGCTAAAGAAAGGTTAATTATGGTCTCTTTCTGAGTAAAAAGGTCACGTTGACAACGTTTAGTGGTGACAGCTTCCGCAAACTGTGATGAACATGCCTTTCTTTGTTTGTTGATTGTCTTGAAGGATTGAGAAACACCTATTTGATGTCCTATTTCTATCAGGTGCCTAGCGATCGAGCTGGTAAAGATCTTTCTGCCTTTGAGACACAGATTTTTTAGAATATGCTCATAAACTTGAGTAGATGCCCTACTTTCGATCCCTCTTATGTACTTGCTTCCACAAGTATATGTTAATTCGTATACACAGTTGAAGGTGATGTGAGATGGGTATTTGTCTACTTTGGACTGTCACCGAGAATACTAAAGTATAAACTGAGATCAGTCTGCCAATAGGAAAACTCCTTCACGGATTAGCTTTTATTCCGCAAATGTCTTTGTTCTTGTTTCTATTCAAATGGATGTTTTTATCTTGATCATTTTGTTATTCCTTATCTTTTACAAACTTCTCATACTGTTGTTACACTAATGTAGTACATTTTTTGATATCTCTACTGTACTCAATCTATGTCTTCAGGTAAGTGGGAATCAACACGAAAACTGATTTCACAGTTACTTACTAATTACCTATGAGTATGTAGCATCCAATTGTATTCTTAGAAGTATTATTTCGTTAAAACTTTGTTTTTTTTTCGGCAAGTAACAAGTTATTCACAATGCTTTTACTTTCTTTTACATTTTTCTGTTCATATCGTTACTTTGGCATACAGATGAATGAATCATTATCACCTATTTATCCTGGATTCAATACAAATTGCATGAATGGTGATGATGTAGATTCTGTTGGTGTTTCCATTTGGTCTACAGGTGGTATGACATATATGCCAAATATTCTACGAATTAGTCAGTTCTGCGCTGATCAATTCCGTGAACCTGGTCCTAACGATATAGTGGTCTATGTACCGGGTACATTTGATCTATTCCGTATCCTTTCTTTTTGGAATTTCTAATCTGAAATATTACGTTTGTGTTATATTTTCTTTATTTTTTAAGTATTTAACGTTTCACTACTTAATACTAAATAACGCTATCAAATTTGGGGTAAGCCAGTGTTTATAATATACAAATTTTTCTATGTTGTCAAATTGTTGAAAAAGATGATGATACGCTTAGTGTTCATTTTGGTGGCTTGCAGTGGAATCCATGACGCACGTTTCGTCCTATTTGGGACTCGTCAGCTGGATGTATCCGCACCCCAGTGAGTGGTGCTTGACTGCTACTCGACCCAGTAATAACCGCTTCAAATGCCAGTGCGTTATCCACTGAGGCGCGAGAGCCACCTCTTATACAACAGGTACTAATTGTTGTTTCTTAGTACTTGTAATCTCCCGTTGCTGTACTTGGTTGTACTGCTTGACCTTTATTGGGAGATGGGCTCCTATGCGGATGCTTCGATACTGCCGAATATTATGTTTTATTCACCTTTATAACTTGCAACTTGACGCACATTTCGTCCTACTTTGGACTCGTTGGCTGAGCAATCCGACCCTGCATAGCAACTGGAAATTGCAAGCCTCAAACAATAATTGTTACCCGTTGCACAGGAGATGACTCTTCTGCCCCAGTCGCCTAGTGGTTAACGTTTTGGTGTCTGAAGCGATGGACATTGGGTTTGAGTCTCAGTGGAAACAACGTGACTCATTGGATTGAAGAAACATCCAGACGACGTGTCCAAAATAGAACGAAATGCGCGTCTTTGATTCCACTGAAAGTCACACAGATGGATACAACGTAATGAATATTCAGCAGTGTCAAAGAATCTGCATGGGAGCTCACCTACCAACGTAGGTCGGTGAATTCGACTTTATATAGCAACGGGAAATTACCAGTATCAAACAGTACACGTCGTGTCTTGTGATGAGTGTGCATCTTGAAGATCAAAGTCTCCATGTACATATGTGGCTATAGTTCGCATAGCATATATGTTAGTTATGTTCGTAAGAGGGGTGAGTGGAAACCACATCAAACTGTTTTATTTTCTCATTCCTATGTAGAAACCTTTGATTTCACATTATTTGAAGTTATTATGCAATGAGACCTTCCTTATAATGTCTAAAGCCTTTCTCAATAATTTTTAAGTGTCAAATTCGACGATATGATATGAACTAGATGTCACATATATGCTTGGATATTGTACATTCATGTTTACCATAGCTTTTAAAACGCCTTTAACACTGAATAACGAAGTGTCACTGAAAGTAATTTTGTTTGAGGTTGATATTCATCATGATTTGACAGCAGTTGGGAAACCATCGGAACTCTGGTAACACTAGACAGCTGTTTCATCCCAGCATGGGACTCCTCAGCTGTAACTACCTATGACTTTGCCTAGGGTCGAACCCAGGGCCTTTAGGTCCCATAACCAGCATATTGCCATTGAGCCACTGGATCAGCATCTAATGGTTCAAATTTCCTACTTCACTCAGTTTTATTTTTCATTCATTGAGACATACAAACACCAATTACCATATTTTGAATACCTATGAGTTATTATATCTGAAGTACAAACTAATCATTCGTCTTCATCTTTTTGAGAATTTGTTCTTCTGTTGACTGTATTATTAACCATCTCGACTTTTCGTTATGTTGGCTACTTCCGATAGTAAAAAAGGCAGAGAGTCTGTCATTATGGCAGTCTATAATTGTAAGGATTTTTGTGTCAGCACAAAAGATAACCGTGTGCACCGAGAAGGCAATGAAGGTGCTTTCAAAATCTTTATTATCGAAAAAATAAATATGTAATATATTGGATTAAATAGTAAATTTTTAGTCAATGATGGACTGATTAGTGGTGGATAGTGGTTAGCAGGAACCCAGGACGCGTGTTTCGTCTTATTTGTGACTTGTCAGCTGGATTTACCTGCCTTCAAGTGAGCGATATTGTCCTCACTAATACTCGAACTCGAGAACGATCGCCTCAAACGCCAGGGTTTTATCCACTAGGTCACCAAGTTGCTATAGCCACTGCTTTTGCGACGCATGATAACATTAATACAAGTATTAACATTAATGATCCACTGAGTTAAAGTATATTCTAGAGTCTCTGAACTGCATCGATTCGGTTGCATCGTTGCTGAGATGGGCTCCAAACGAGCGAAACCATTATACGATGTTGAGATCATCTTCATCTGGTTAGCGAGCACTCCTAATCAGCATGAGTAGTTTACAGCTACTCATATTAGTCAACAGTATATTTCGAACCAAATCTATTCCGCTTATTGGTCAATTAGCCTCACAAATCCTGTCACACTGGGTTTCACTTATAACCTTATTGACAGAACTGGGCTTAGTTGTTGAGTTTTATCCTTATTACATTTATTACATTCCTATTTACCAGGAGACTAGTGTTGAATAGGATTCCACTTAATAAAGCTGATAGGAGCATTCTGATACGGTCAATTGACTAGCTTGGCAATAATCTATATTGCTTAAGTTTGTCAGTCATCTACATTTTCCTCAAAACTGCTGTTCATTCTCATGTTTCTCTTCGTTTCTATTCAATTTACTTACTTAATATCACGAATCGTAATAGTACATAGTCTTGGATAAAAATTTAGTTGTATCAGTGAATCAATAAAAACTACCTACACAACTGTGCATAGTTGACATCCAGACTGACAGACAGACAGACAAAATTCATGTAGAACTTCGCACACAAGTTCTTCGGTTCAAGTTGCCACACTTCACAGTAGTATACGATGAACAAGTGGGCGGAAAAAAACTGATGGTATCAAAGTAGACAAAGGTGTGTGGGAGGAGAAAGAATTTGAAACTCAAGGCTAGTGAAAATAATGAAACTTTATAAGACGTCAAAGAGTGAATACATCTGCATCGTTGTGATTGATTTTCAGCTATTTCACCAAGAGAGTCCTCAACCACTGATGCTTGTCGTTTCAGGGACCTCATAATTGACATCATAAAAGCGATAGCATGTGAACTGGATATAAGAAAATAATAATCCGCGCAGCGCTATTATTTATATACTATTGTAGACAAAGTTAACAGCATAGTCGAAGCAGGATAAAAGGTAACAGAAGATAGTATGTTTCAGAGCGGTGGAAATATACAGTACGTAACGACAGAGAAGGAAATTCAAATTTCATAGGATAAATTTAATCGGTTAGGTTTAACTTTTGGAGAACTACGATTGATACTTATACGAAGGTATTGTTGAATCAACTTTGTATAAGACTCGTGATATGATTTGAAATAGCCGACTGTCTGACTAGGAATTTCTGTTCAAAAACTTTCAACAGTTTATCATATGAAGCGTATTCATCATGCGAATTAGTATCGGTTTTGTATTTCACATATATTTGCATTAGATAATAAATAGTACTCTTCTTGTCTGGTAGTCTTCTTGTTTAACTAGATTGTTTATCCATATGGCAATAGAGATTGCTCAATTCGGTTCAGTTAACGGAAGGATAATGCAAGCAACAGCATGATAACTGTACCCGTGACTGTCGTGACTCGGTGGGGCAATGGATAACGCTGTGGCCTTTGAGGCGGTCGCTCTCAGGTTCCAGTCTTAGTGGGCACAACATAACTCACTGGGAGGCAGGTAAATCCAGCTGACATGCCTCAAATAGGATGGAATGCGAATCCTGAATTCCACTGCTAGCCACTATATATCATTACCATAAAATTGTTTTCTGTTAGTCGTTAAATTTAGCCTTCGTACACACTGGCACTCGTTATAATTGTATATCTAAAATCTTGAGGAAGTTCATGTTTCGTTGAGGAATCGAATCTATGCCACTCATTACTGAAGGTATAACCAGACTGTGTAGATGAAACAGCAGCCAGATCGAAACCTTAATCTCAGAATCGAATGGTACTGGTTCAGATCTCCAAAGAAATATGAGTTTCTTCAGGTTTTCAAACACAGCTTGGTGATGAGTGTCTACAAGCATGAAAACTAAATTAAATAGGACTCCCTGTTGACTGACTTTTAACATCTAACATGAAAACCTCGAAACTGCAGTATCAAATCAATTGACCTTGTTACCACGTTTCAAATTTGGCTGACCGACTTCGATCAGCTCAGAGGACTCGAAAAATAAGCTGGTTATCATCCAGTAAGTAATTTTTCACTGTCTGATTATACTGTGGACAGATTTGGAAATAATTATTATACAAACTGATTAATGTGATATGATAACCTTTTACTTTCCTTAACCGAATGTACTTTACATGTAACCATTACCTTTCAACTCTCATTTAACAAATATACAAAACAAACTGTACAACAGATATTGGTCATCTATCCTTCCTTGAACAATGTTTAAAACTTGGCAATTATATACTGATTGGACTACATTCAGACAAAGTAAGTATTTTCATAATGTGTTTATTTTGAAGCGAATCTTGTGTTATCAATCAATTTCTTTCGCTAAGGATTGATGTAGTGAAAAATACGCTAGCACCATGTCCTAAAAACATCTAAAAATTATTTCCTTTATGTTGCATTTTTTCTGACACTATGCACGTCGATTGCGTGTCACATTTACATACTACTATATATAGTAGCTTTTCTAAAAAAATTACTTGAAATTGGAAGGGGTAATGTGTCACCCTAGACCTCAAGGGACGTCTTCTTAAGGCGGGTCACACATAAACTTTTGGCAAGTTTGAGATTTGTGTTATTCGCTTTTGAATTCGACTATGAATCCTTGTTTGAGACATTGGCATACTGCGAGGGGTGGGAGTTTGACACATTTTAGGGTCGACCTTTTCTAACACTCACTTTGCTATGGCAAGGGAGCATCAGCGTGGTACTGTTATTCATCCAAGAGGAACACCTTTCTACTGTCATATCCCTGTCCAGTAGGAAGTATGACTTCACCCCCAGAGCCCCATCACAGTGTAACAATTTACGCAATAATCGTAACTGCTTTTTGTCCGCCCATTATCCAATAGACCTTTCTGGTTTTGTAGGACCTTGATAGGACAAGGGTCCCACCAGCATGGCTCATTGGGTCATTGTGATATACAAATCCGACCACCACTTCAAGATAGCAGCTACTATATATAGCAGCAATAACATGATTATCTGTTTGACTGCTTTCTTCTGATTCAACTTGGGTAAAGCGACACCATCAGATTGAATTGAGATTTCAGCTCTCTGAAATTAAATGTAATGAATGCGTTAATATTTTTCATGGTGTAGAGTGACTATTTTATAATCAGTGTAAACTGATTTGCTTGAGGAACTGCTAAACGAAAGAAGATTGAGTAGTTTTAAGGAATAGTTCTTTGAAAGATTTATTATTATTGTTTTTTTCTCCCTTGGGTTCCTAGTGAAACATAGGGCCTCAGTAGTACGCCTCTATTGCACTCTGTTCTCTGCAGTCCTTTGGACCTGACACCACGACTGCCCACAAACTTCCATTTCTTCCTCCATGTCACCCTCGCTTCGGACTCCCAACTCGTCGTTTCCCATCTGGGCTCCACTCGATATCCTGGCCTGGCGCGTGATGCCCCCGAATGGTCTCCTAAGTGCATGCCCAATTCATCTCCACTTCCTTCTGTATATTTGTTGAGTGATAGGTTCTTGGTTGGTTCGTTGCCAGACTGAGTTCCTTGTTGCTTATTCTTATTATTCTGGCCTTCTGATCTTCAGTATGGAGCGAGCGTAGACGGCAGCTGTTGATGAATGTCTGTAGTTTGTTGAGAATGCTTTTCGAGACGCGCCAAGTTTCTGAACCATACACAAGCACTGACTTGACATTAGTGTTGGACATCTGGATCTTGTTCTTTATGCTGAATGCAGAAGATCTCCACATTGCTTTCAGGTTAGCGAAAGCCTGTCTTGCTTTCCCCATCCTGGTTTTGACATGCTCATCTGTGTCTGTGCCGCCTGTAGTTGAGACGATGCTGCCTACGTAGATAAAAGACATTGCTTGCTTTAGTTTTCTCCTGTTGATGGTGATTGGTGCTTGTTGTTGATCTTGTTTTCGGTTGGTTGTGTATCTTCATCACCTCCGTCCTCTCTACGTTCACTTGAAGTCCCGTCTTCGCTACCCTGCCTCTTGTGTCTACCTGTTAGTTTTTGCCTGTAGATCTGAGAGTTTGTGCCACAAGACATTAGACACAAGTCATCGGTGGGGAAATCCAAATCTTCTAGGTTCTTTTCATCAGTCCAGTCAGCGTATCGCCATCTTCTCGCTCCTCACTGTTTGCTGCATGATCCAGTCCAGTCCAGTCCAGTCCAGTCCAGTCCAGTCCAGTCCAGTCCAGTCCAGTCCAGTCCAGTCCAGTCCAGTCGACCACAATCAGGAAGATCATGGGTGATAGTAGACGGCAGTCTTGTCTTACTCCTGTCTTCACTTCGAAGGCATCACTGAGCCTTCCATTGTGTATAACTAAGCATGTGGGGTCTTCATATAGTTGTTGAATGAGGTTGATGAGGGTTTGTGACACTGAAAGCGTAGTGTTGAAGCAGCTGCCTGCCAAATCACTTGTCGGTCGACGCTGTCAAAGTCCTTTTCAAAGTCGATGAAGTTGATGTAGAGTTGAGTTGAGTTGAGTTGAGTTGACTGCCATTCTATACTCTGTTGTATGATGGTGCGTAGCGTCGCGTTGTAATTTGATCCGCACATGGTTTGTACTTCCCGAATCCAACCAGACTGTTCCGGTCGTAGTTTTGAATCCAGAGTATCCCTTAGCCTCTGCAGAATGATGCGGCATAAAACTTTGCTTGGTGTGGACAGGAGCATGAATCCGCGCCTGTCCTTGCAAACGCTTCGGTCACCCTTCTTTGGGAGTTTGACAGGATATCCCTTCTTCCAATCCCCAGGTACCTTCCCTTCGTAACCCTAGCGGTGTGAGCTTGTTCACTGTTGTCCCTGCGTCCGCTCTCAGTGCTTCTGGCGGGATTCCATCTGGTCCTGCTGCTTTCCCGCATTTCAGCAATTTTGATGGCGTTCAGGACTTCGACTTCTGTTGAAGGATTTGCGGTGGCTTGTGGTTCTGTGACTGAAGGTGCTATTTCTGGACTAAGTGCAGGTGGTGGTCGATTCAAGAGCTTTTTGAAGTGGTCAGCCCATTGTTTCCTTTGTTTCTCTTCTTTTTTACTTAGATTTCCTCCATCTGTGTTGATCTCTACTCTTGCAGATAGTAACCTGGTTATCTGATACAATGTTGTCAGGTCTCTGTCTCTCCTACCAGCCGGTAGCCTGTTCTGCTTCACTTGCCAGTGTGTCGTGGAAGTGTGTCTTTTATCTTTCTGCGCACTCTTCTTCACTTCCTTGTCCAGTGTTTCATAGGTTGTACTCAGTTCCTCCTCTCTTTGAGCTTGTTTGCGCTGGTTTATCTTCTGCTTCACCATCCTCCTCTCCCTGCTCTATTAGCTTCCATGTGTGCGTCGAGATCCATTCCATTCCATTCCTCATCTTCTTTCTTCTTCCTTCCTAATACGGTTGTGCAGGTTTCTTCCCACATAGTTTTCAGAGTTCCAGTGCTCATCCACACATGTTTGTTTGAGTGATGTTGCTCGGTATCTCCATTTTGCCTTGATGGCTGTCGTGGAGATTTCCTTTGTAGTTTCGTCCTTCAGTTCACTTTCTGTTCTGGGTGTTCAACTTGAACTGTGGTCTATCACCGACTTCCTTGAAGTCTTTTAACTTGATTTGGAAGGTAAGTTCCTTGCAGTATACAGTGGTCCGAGCCTGCATCTGCTAATCTTCTTGACCGAGTGTCAAGTAGGCTACGTCTCCACTTTCTTCACATTGAGATGAAGTCGATCTGATTTTTAGTGTGTCCTGGTGTCTGGTGAAATCGAATCCATGTTGCTCGCTTTGTGGATATGCTTGTGCTAGAACACAGTGCCTGACTCCAATCACCAAATCGTTGAATGTACAGAAATCTTCAAACAATTCTCCATTCTCGTTCATCACGTCACCGAGTGCTTCTCGACCCATGGTTGGTTCTCGTCCTGTGTTTTCCGCTCCCAGTTTGGCATTCACATCACCTCACCCATTAGAATTTTGATGTCACAAACTGAGGTCTTGTTGAGTGTTGATTGCAGTTGTCTGTAGAATTCCTCCTCCTCTTCATAAGCATTATTTGTAAGTGCACGGTGTAGCATTGTATGATTGTGACCTTCCTTCCTTTTGAGTTGAATCTTAGTGTCATGATCCTGATCGTGGAGGAGATTGGTTCCGACTGTATGAGAGGGTTCGATGCTGTTGTGGACATCATGATATCCACTCCGTGAGTGTGCTCGTGGTTGTCGTCTGGGTAACAATATTGGAGTAGATTATTGACTCGTCTCCAGTTGACAGTTTGCAGAGTCCACTTCCATTCCATCTGCTTTCACAAATTCCAAGCACTTCACTGTGATACCTTCTCATCTCGTTTTTAATCTGGACAGCCTTGCTAAGTTGAAATATTGTGCGGACATTCCATGTCTCCACGTTTACTTTTGCTTTCATCGAGAGAAGGGAAGATACATCAGCCAATTGCCTTCTTGAAGGCTTTTACCAACCGGCGTGATTTCGCCTCTCGGATTCTAGGGAGGAATAATATTGTTTTTATTTTTTATATTTTGTTTTTGCTTTGAAGTTTCTTTGGCGGTTGGTTGGATTTGTTTTACGGTATAGGGTTGCTAGTTATGCTCAACCTACCCTCTTTACCCAGGCTTAGGACCGGCTATTAACTAGTGAACTAGTTAACCATGCCAGGTTTTTTAGTCATATACTTGAGTTATATTAAAACTACTCACAGACACCAGCATACATCGTCATCTAACTAGTGCTGATGAAACGTTCAGGCGTGTAGTTGTTGTTGAGCGACACTTTCTGCTTTCGAAGGTTAAGATAAGTCATCGTTGTTCGACATTTATGCTAGTTTTTGTTTTTTCCCCTACTATTTCTAGTCTATCCTGTTTAAAATGCTCGATGACAGTGATGTGTGCTATACTTGAATCATGTGGGTAAATGAGTAAGGACTAAATAGTGAGATAAGCATGTGAATGAATATTTTGGTTATTTTTGTGGTTGAAATGTAAGCCGAAATTTATTTTTTATGCGTAGCCTACATACAATCAATGTTTGAGTAGATTCAGGTGTGTACATAATTCATAGTTTTGAAGAGAGTAGACTACAATTAAGGGAATATACTGCAACAATAACTTGAGTAGTTAGAAGCCACTCAGAATAATCTGTAGATTTCGCTAGCTAGATGAGAGTGAACTAAACACTGGACGGTCGTTTAACTTGTTTGTGTGTGCGCTCATCAGGTGTACACTCGGGGAAATTCAGCCTGCAACCGAATTAATTCACATCACCTGGATCTGGCTAGCTAACACGTATGAACCAGATGATCAATATCCAAATGATTTATAAACTGCACGATCCATGTTGAGATTTAACATTGGTGAATAGTTTTTCAACGAAACGGCCGTTCGGTGTTTAGATCACTCTGATCTGGTTGTCGAAATCTACAGATGAATTTGAGTAGTTTCTAGCTACTCAATTAGTTCAGTAGTAGTTTACGACATTTTTGTGTCACAGATCACACCTTGTGATCTCGACTGAGTAATTTCCAATAGGAACATTGTTGACACTACAGTTGAGCAGTTGAGAAACTACTCATCTGTGAGAAATATCAACATGGACTGTGCAATTTGTAAATCGTTTACAAATTGATCTTCCTATGTTATAATTAGGTAGAAGGTAGTCGTAAACTTGTCAGTTTCTACTTCAAGTTGAAAATTCTAGTGTATAGTCTGTATGATGCCGTTGATGTTGTGAAGATGATAGTTATACGATGTGTACTATTGATGAACACTTATAACTGGTTGACAAAATTAACGTAGAATTCCGCACAAAAATAACTCAGCTCAAGTTTCCACACTTCACAGTAGTACACAAAGAGCAGTCGGATAAAAACGAACTGATAACAAAGTAGACCAAACTGTGTGGAAGAATAAAAAATCTGAAGATAAAAGGTTAATGTGAATATTCGAACATGAGATGTGAACGAGAAAATTCATCTGAGCCATTGTGATCGATTTTCGGTTGTGTCACCAACAATCCTCAACCACTAATTCCTTTCGTCTCGGTGACGTGAACCAGACAATGTGCATTTTGCCACATGACTCAAGCCAACAGTCAGTGACTTCATCGACTGTTGCTATGTCTTGGTTTTGCCACCCTGAACCATCTTCCCATCCTAGTCCAACTTCCTCTGGTATGGCATATCGAGGTAGCTGGTGGCTAATTGATAGGAATAGCTATAAGTTACATCAGTCAATGGTGTGTGATAATTACATTACAACTTTCTAAAAAGCTCATAGTTGTGTTCAATCTTCGAAGTGCAGATCACCAACAGTAGATTGCCCGAATTGATTTTCGTATAGAGAGCAGAATTCTTCAAGTAATCTTGCTATCCAATCCAATGAACTGGTAACACCTAGAATTCACTCTCGTATTTTTCAAATTTACAACCGATTATAAGCATGACACTCAAGTAAAGTTTTATAATATAAAGTAAATATTTTTCTTTCTTTAGACATCATCATTCGAAAGTGGTCGAATGGGGTCAATCCTTACCCTTCAAGAACGATTGTTGTCTGTATTAGCCTGTCGTGTAAGTGATTTCCTTTTTAAATGTATGCAATTTCATAAGTTTGTACTAAAATCCAAAATATCCTTTGAATGAACTACTCATTTCATCAGAGTAATAAATCAGTCTGTGATTGAACTCAATACATAGAACTTAAGTCAATGCGTTACTGTTCCACGTTACACAACTGATTGTCTGGAAGCCTCTATTAAACTTTGACTACGCATACTTTCTGTACAGACAGAAAAGCTTCGTCAGTTCAACTTGTTACACTCTACAACAACATGAAAACGAGATGTGAATCGGAAATGAAGCATAGATAAAAGTGTAGAAGGGGAGAGAGAGAGAGAGTTAATAGGAATGTTTAAAATTTTGATTATAAAGGATATATATCACTGAAAGTCTTCAATCATTTACTCACAACAACTTTCTACCCAATTCAGATCAGTAATTTGAAACTTATTAGTTTATTATCATGTCTTGGCTTGATCAACCTCATTTCTTAACCTTCCACTATAAAATTTCTTCCCATTAAGTTGTTAATTTAGATCCATATTTAAAGCATAGTATGAAGAAATTTCTAATATACCTTTTTGATATACGGTATTGGATGCTTGAATTCACTCACTAATGCATGCAGGAATTAATAATGCATGAAATGTCTGATTAGTTTATCAATAATCTTTTTAGAAAATAATCTTATCTGTTGAACACTTAACAATTAGTTTTGATACAATGCATAGGTAGATAAGTGTTCATTATTCACTGAACGTTTTCAAATGAAAAATGACTTAAAGAGAAATAGTGAAACTCTTAAATGCTACCACTTAACGGATGCCAGAAATCAATAAATATCATTGAATAAAGTTACCTAGAACAAACTGTATCATTAGTTCAGTACACAAATGCTCTTTAAGAAGGATGATAACTGAAATTAGAATGAAGCTTATTATTATTATTATTAGTCCCTTGGGTTCCTAGTGGAACATAGGGCTTCAGTAGGACGCTTCCAGTGACCTCTGTTCTCTGAGATCTTTTGAACCTGGTTCCACGACAGCCCAGAAGCTCTCATTTCCTCCTCGCATGACCTCCTCCATGTCACCCTCAAAAGGACGTCCAACTCGTCGCTTCCCATGGGGATTCCACTCGAGCAACTGGCCTGACGCGTGATGTCCTCAGTCGGCCTTCTCAGTGCATGGCCAATCCATCTCCACTTCTTCCTGCATATTTGTTGCGTGATAGGTTCTTGGTTGGTTCGTTCCCAGAAAAGTTCCTTGTTGCTTATTTTTTCTGGCCATCTGATCTTCAGCAGCGAGCAAAAGTAAGCAGTTGTTGATGAATGTCTGTAGTTTATTGGAAATGCCTTTCGTGACGCGCCAAGTCTCTGAGCCATACAAGAGCACTGACTTGACGTTGGTGTTGAAAATCCGTATCTTGTTCCGCATGCTGAGTGCAGAAGATCTCCACACTGGTTTCAGGCTAATGAACGCCTGTCTTGCTTTTCCGATTCTGACTTTGACGTCCTCGTCCGTCCCGCCTGTAGTTGAAACAGTGCTTCCTAGATAAGTGAAGGAGGTTACTTCCTTCAAGTTTCTCCCGTTGACGGTGATTGGAGTTTGTTGTTGTTGTTGTTGATGGTGGTGGTGCGGTATCTTCATCACTTCTGTCTTCTCTATATTCACCTGAAGTCCCGTCTTAGCTGCCTCTTCTGTCAACTTGTTAGTTTTTGCCTGCAGATCTTCAAGTTTATGTGACATTAGGCATAAGTCATCGGCGAAATCCAAGTCTTCTAGGTTCTTTTCCGTCGTCCAGTGTATCCCCCTCTTCTCGCTGCCTACTGTTTGCTGCATGATCCAGTCCACCACAATAAGGAATATCATGGGGGATAGTAGGCAACCTTGTTTCACTCCTGTCTTCACTTCAAAGGCATCACTGAGCTTCCCATTGTGGATTACTTGGCATGTGGCATCTTCATATAGTTGTTGAATGAGGCGGATAAAGGTTTGCGGTACTCCGTAGTATTGAAGCAGTTTCCAAATTACTTCTCGGTCGACGCTGTCAAAGGCCTTCTCAAAGTCGATGAAGTTGAGGTGGAGAGCTGATTGCCATTCTACGCTCTGTTCTATGATGATACGAAGCGTTGCAATTTGGTCAGCACATGATTTGTACTTCCTGAAGCCTGCCTGTTCCGGTCGCAGTTTTGAATCCAGTGCGTCTTTAAGCCTCTCCAGGATGATGCGGCTTAATATTTTACTTGGGGTGGACAGGAGAGTGATTCCGCGCCAGTTCTTGCAAGCACTGAGGTCTCCCTTCTTCGGCAGTTTGACAAGGTAACCCTTCTTCCAATCAAAAGTCAGGTACCTTCTCTTCCCTCCACACCTTCTGCAATAGTGGTGTGAGCATGTCCGCTGTTGTCTCTGCATCTGTTCTCAGTGCTTCTGGCGGTATTCCATCTGGTCCTGCTGCTTTCCCGCATTTCAGTAGCTTTATGGCGTTCAGGACTTCCATTTTCGTTGGGGGATTTATGTTCACTTGTAATTCAGCGGCTGCAGGTGGTATTTCTGGACGAAGTGCAGGTGGTGGTCGATTCAAGAGCTTCTTGAAGTGGTCGGCCCATCGTTTCCTCTGTTTCTCTTCTTTTGTAATTAAATTTCCTTCTTCATCTTTTATTGGTTTCATCTGTGTTGGTCTCTTCCCTGATAGCAACCTGGTTATTTGATACAATGTCGTCAGGTCTCTCTTACCTGCAGCCTGTTCTGCTTCACTTGCCAGTGTGTCGTAGAAGTGTCTTTTGTCTTTGCGTGCACTCTTCTTCACTTCTTTGTCCAGTGTTTTATACATTGTGCTCAGTTCCTCTTGTCGTTGAGCATCCTTGCACTGGTTTATCTTCTGCTTCACCATCCTCCTCTCCTCTATCAGCTTCCAGGTATCCGTCGAGATCCATTCCTTGTCTTCTTTCTTCTTCCTTCCTAATACTGTTGTGCAGGTTTCTTTCCACATAGCTTTCAAAGACTTCCAGTGTTCTTCCACACAGGTTTCTTCAGGGATGTCCCTCGATGTCTCCCATTTTGTCTTGATGGCTGCTTTGAAGATCTCCTTTGTAGTTTCATCCTTCAGTTTCCGAGTGTTGTACTTGAATTGAGGTCTATCACCAGCTTCCTTGAAGGCTTTTAACTTGATTTCGAAGGTTCCTTGCACTAGATAGTGGTCTGAACCTACATCTGCTCCTCTTCTTGACCTTGTGTTAAGTAGACTGCGTCTCCATTTTCTTGAGATTGAGATAAAGTCGATTTGATTTTTAGTGTGTCCATCTGGTGAAGTCCATGTCGCTTTGTGGATATCCTTGTGCCTGAACACACTGCCTCCAATCACCAAATCGTTGAATGCACAGAATTCTGCAAACAATTCTCCATTCTCATTCATTTCACCTAGCGCCTCTCGACCCATGGTTAGTTCTCTTCCCGTGTTGTCCCCTCCCAGTTTGGCATTCATGTCGCCCATTAGAATTTTGATATCGCCAACTGACGTCTTGTCCAGTGTTGATTGAAGTTGTCTGTAGAATTCCTCCTTTTTCTCTTGCTCTGCATTATTTGTAGGTGCATAACCAGGCATTGTATGATTGTGACCTTTCTTCCTTTTGAGTTGAATCTTGCTGTCATGATCCTGGAGGAGATTGGTTCCCACTGCATGAGAGCCTTCGATGCTCTTGAGGACATCATGATAGCCACTCCAAAACTCAGTGTGCTAAAAACGTGGTTGGCGTCTGGGTGACAATATCGGAGTAGATTATTGATTCTCCAGTTGACAGTTTGGAGAGTCCACTCCCATTCCATCTGCTTTCGCAAATCCCAAGCACTTCGATGTTATACCTTCTCATCTCCTTTGCAATCTGGGCTGCCTTACTGGGTTCAAACATCGTGCGGACATTCCATGTCCCCACGTTTACTTTCGCTTTCATCGAGAGAAGACACATCGGCCAATTGGCTTCCCGAAGTCAGGCTTTCACCAACTGGCGTCATTTCGCCTCTCCGATTCCAGCGGGGAATAAGTTTGTTTTCATTTTTTATATTTTGTTTGTGCTTTGAAGTTTCTTTAGCGGTTAGATTTGTTTTACGGGGTAGGGTTGCTAGCCCTATGCCCAACCTTCCCTCTTTACCCGGGCTTAGGACCGGCTAGTAACTAGTAAACTAGTTAACCAGGCGAGGTTAGAATGAAGCTTAAGATTTAAATATTAGAGGTCGTTTGATATTTGCCAACTTGCATCATCTGTGGTCTCGGCGAGACATACAGTTATCTATCAAAGGACGAGTATATTTCGCTGTAATGTGTACTGTCCTGTTGTACAGTTGTGAGATATGGCCGTTAAGAGTAGGATACATGTAAAAGTTACAATTTTTCGACCATAGTTATCTTTTTAGCATTGTTCGCGTTCGGTGGAATCACCTGGTGAGCAATGTTAAGGTTAGGCTAAAGATACTAGACAAGACAGGCAAGTCGATTAACGAGGTTTGGAATGTTATTCGATTGAGATGACATGGACAAGTACTACATCTACCAGAGCCAGAACCTACCTCAATGTGCCATACCAGAGGAAGTTGGACTAGGATGGGAAGATGGTTCAGGGTGGCAAAACCAAGACATAGCAACAGTCGATGAAGTCACTGACTGTTGGCTTGAGCTATGTGGTGAAATGCACATTGTCTGGTTCACGTCACCGAGACGAAAGGAATTAGTGGTTGAGGATTGTTGGTGACACAACCGAAAATCGATCACAATGGCTCAGATGAATTTTCTCGTTCACATCTCATGTTCGAATATTCACATTGACCTTTTATCTTCAGATTTTTTATTCTTCCACACAGTTTGGTCTACTTTGTTATCAGTTCGTTTTTATCCGACTGCTCTTTGTGTACTACTGTGAAGTGTGGAAACTTGAGCTGAGTTACTTATGTGCGAGATTCTACGTTGATTCTATCAGTCAGTTTAACCATCAACCAGAGGTCATATACCAGTGAATCTTAAAA